TTAAGAAGAGTCTGCACAGCCACTTGTCTGGAATGGCATAGGGTCTCCTGCTTGAGCAGGGGGTTGGACTAGAAGACCTCCAAGGTCCCTTCCAGCTCTTATTCTGAATTATCCAGGATAGTCAATGCCTTACTCAAATAATGGGGTGTGTCTCTTGTCCTCCAAGCAACATACTTAACCAGAGTTCTGAAGTAACCCATTTTCAGGGATCGCCCTACCCTGAGCATTAAACTAACCAGCCAAGATACAGATAATTACCTACATTTGCAAAATATGCAAAGCTTGATGAGGGATCACCTGAGTTATGTTTTTTTCCCTGACTTCATACTACTGTACAGTAGTCCTCGACTTATGACTATAATGGAGCTGATCATAATCGTAAGTCACGAGGGTAATAAAGTGGTTCATCATGTGGCTGATTTGATTACTATTTTTATGGTGGTCATTAACAACACCATGGTTGTTAAATGAATCCGCAGTGTTTTAGCACGGTCAACCATTAACCCATTGTTCGCTGCGGTGTTTTTTTGTCAAAACCCAGAACTAAACGGGGTTTTTGACAAAAGCGTCATAAATTGAAGTCATGGGATTGTGGGATGCTGCAAACAGTTGTAAATGACAAGAGCCCAACATGCAGTCATGTGACCAGGTAATCATTAGGACTTTGGAACCAGGTTGTAAATACTATTTTTTGGGGGGGAGAGTCTGTCGCAACCAGTGAAAATTGCAACAGAACCCCCCCCCACACACACAAAAAAAAGTATTTGCGACCTGGTTCCAAAATTCTAATGGTCCTCTGGTTGCATGACTGCATTTCGGGCACTTGGCCCTTTAGTCAACCTTCACTGGAACGACTTGCCTCCAGAAGTTGTGAGTTCTCCAACACTGGAAGTTTTTAAGACGAGATTGGACAAACCTGAAATGGTATAGGGTAGGGATAGGCAACCTTGGCTCTTTTATGACTCGTGGACTTCAACTCCCAGAATTCCTGAGCCAGCCATGCTGAGGAGAAATGGAGAGTTTCCAAGCTGAGCCATGCTGGCTCAGGAATTCTGGGAGTTGAAGTCCATGAGTCATAAAAGAGCCAAGGTTGCCTACCCCTGGTATAGGTCTCCTTCTTGAGCAGGGGTTGGACTAGAACAGGGCTTTTCAACCAGTGGTACAGGTACCACCTGTGGTACATTGGCACCTGGCAGGTGGTACGCGGCCATCCTAGAAAAGTAGTGGGGGAGGGGAATGAGCTGAACCGGTAGTAGCACTGCACAAGCCTGAGCGAGAGATAGCTGTAGCTGCAAGGCTGTCAGGGTTCAGTGGAAGCACCAGAATCAGGGACGCTTTCCAGCTGATCGGCGCTTCTTCAGGGCTGTCAGTGGAAGCTCCAGGATCAGCACCAGGCTCCAGCTGGAAAGCAGCACTGATCCTAGTGCTTCTGCTGAGCCCTGAAGAAGCACCGATCAGCTGGAATGTTGCAGCATCTCCAGGGTCTTGTGATTTACATTCAGATGCTTGGCAACTGATTCATATTTATGACGGTCACAGTGTCCCAGGGTCAGGTGAAGTGACCAAAACCTGCTGCAACCACCCAGCAGACGGGGGGAATAAAAATCAAACACCCCCCACCCCACCCCTGCTGCCAATCCTCAACATAAATGCTCACAACAATGAAAACCTCGGACAGGAGGAAGAGCGCTGCCGGGCGGGCAGGCGTCTTGCTCGGCTGTGGCTTGGGGGGCACTTTTTTCAGTGCCATTGTAACTTCGAACAGTCACTAAGCGAACTGTTGTAAGTCGAGGACTACCTGTACTTTATCACTTTTTTCTCTTTTTTTGGGGTCATCAAGTTTTTGACACCTTGCTAGGCGACTGGTGGTACTCGGATGTTGCTATATCCTAAAAGTGGTACAATGGGTGAAAAGGTTGAAAAGCCCTGGACTAGATGACCTCCGAGGTCCCTTCCTACTCTGTTATTCTGTTATTCTATTCTGTTACTCATCATCATTATCCTTCCAGCCTATAAGTCAATGTTTCTCAACTGAGCATGCTGGTTGGGGAATTCTGGGAGTTGAAGTCCACAAATCTTAAAAGTTGTTGAGAAACACTGCTTTAGCTCATTAATGTGGCTCAGGGTGGGTAATTCCAGTTCTATGCCTTCTGGCTTTCTTTCTTTCTTTCTTTCTTTCTTTCTTTCTTTCTTTCTTTCTTTCTTTCTTTCTTTCTTTCTTTCTTTCTTTCTTTCTTTCTTTCTTTCTTGGTTATTTGTTCAGAGGAAGAGGGGAAGGGGAGTAGGAAACCCACCCCTTCTGGAAGCAAAAAGCTGTTGTTTTGTGAAAGTACAGTACACATTAAGCCATGTTCTTGCATCATCTGGTGTTAGAACAGATTTCCCAGCTCCTTGGCGTCGTGACTTGGATCGCGGCCTGCTTTCAGTTATCTAACCCTCCCTGGCATGCTTTTGGGCTGCACACGGCCCTGTTCCTTTCTAGACTCCCGCCATACGATTTCATGTATTAAGGCAAAGCCTGTATTTTGACAGCTGATGCAGCTCTGTCCTTGTGAGACGGATCTGGATGCTCTCAGTTTGAATCTCATCTGTACTTTGGACTTATTCGTTGGTTGAGTCGGTGGCCTGCGGGAAGACTTTCTCCCCCTCTCACCAATTGGTTCTCAAATTGGAGGGAAGAATAATAACTTGGAGCTAAGATTGTCCCAAAGGTGCTTTTTCAGAGGGCATTTTGTTCCTCATCCAAGAAGCTTCTTCAGTTCTGGAGCATTTTGGTTCTGGAGAACTGAAGAAGCTTCTTGGATGAGAAGCAAAATATCTTCAAGGAAAAACAAAGAGAGTCCAGTTGCCTTTTGAAAAAGCACCTTTGGAACAACCATGACCTGGATGACTGAAAATCTCCATAGACATTTATTACTAAGATGTACAACTGAAGCTGGTGTGGGTGTGTGCGTACGCATGTGCACATGGACAACCATGATCTGGATTATGGGAATCTCCATAGACATTTATTGCTAAGATGTACAACTGAAGCTGGTGTGTGTGTGTGTGCGCACAAGCCCCTCAAGACTTCCCAGAGCCCTTATGAAATTGTAATTATTAGTGGGCCGAAGGAGAGACTATTAAATAATACTAATTGCCTGCTTTTGAAGAGTAATCTTATTAATACATTGAATTGAATTATGTTTAAAAGCCAGTTTCATATAAATCAATTTTAGTTTTCATGTTGGCCTCTAGCATTAGAGTTGTTGGGAGTCAGATCCTATGTAAGTGATAATAATTATGAATAATAATTTTCTTAACATGTCTGATATAGCAGTCTTTGAAAACAAGAAAGTTTGATTCACTGTTGTTGCTATACTGAGTGATGCTGAAAAAAAATTACAAAATATCACGACTTGCAAATCAAAGTTGAATGCTGACAGAAAAAGAAATTTGCTGTTATACCAATCATGACTGGAGTTCTTGGAGAAATATCTATAGAACTCTCTTGATGTTTGGACGCTTCAAATTGTTAGACCTGAATGCCCTAATTTTTTTAAAAAGAATAACAACTTGCTTGGAACTATCTATATCCTCAGATGCTACCAATAATTCTTAGGTCTTTGGTTAGGACTTGAATTATTTTCCCCAGTTTTTGACTGAATCTAACTATAGATTACCCTATAATTATGGATTGTCACACAGCCAGATGTTTAGAGGATATGACATTTTTGTCTACCTATAGAAGTCCTTCCAAAGGATCCAGGATAGGCAGATGTTGATGTTTTATGGTTTTAAGATATTGTCACAGGATGTAAGCTGTTCTGAGTAAAGCTGCCTTTTGCAGTTGATTGATGGTGATTTTGTCAGTACAGATGTAATTCAAGCAGTGCTGCAGATGTTTTGGAATTTGCATCCAAGACACCTATTAGAATTGTTACTATCTTTCTGATGTCTTCAGGTATTACCATGTCCACTGTCCAGATTTTTTTTTTATCTTATCGACAATTGTTAACTCTGGGGTATTGTGTGGCAGATGTGTTTGAATTCTAAAGTTGCCAAGCATTTAAGCTTCTTTATTTTCTATCACATTGCCTATTTTGTGGTCTCTCCCAGTACTTGCCTGCAGGCGAATGGTATTTCCTGTAGACATTCCTATTATTATTATTATTATTATTATTATTATTATTATTATTATTATTATTATTATTATTAATCATCGCACAGTCAGCCAGATGTTCAGACTGGATTTGGCATTTTGTCTACCTATCAAGTCATTATTATTATTATTATTATTATTATTATTTCTGGAAGATGGAAACCAACCCCTAGCTCAGCTTCAGTCTTAGATTACTGAAAGTTCTCCCCACCACCACCACCACTCCAGCTTTATTGGGCTGATTAAAGTCTGCTTCCCCTAATTTTGTTTCTTCCAGCTGCGTTGGAGCACAACACCCATACCATCCAGCCAGACATGCCCCAAGCCTTTTTAAAGCATTTGGCATGTGCTCCTGCAAGCTGGCTGTAACAGGCTCATCTAGCTATTTGCGATGTTGGGAGGAAAGTTTTGGCAACGTTGCGATTCCGGCAAAGGTCAACGCACAATGTCGCTCTTTTGCTTGTAAGGGAGAGCGTAAGGTTGATGGTGCATGAACCTCGGTCAGCCTTTCCCGCTTCTGCTTCGTCATTGCCCGAAAGCCGAAGTGACTGGACCCTTCAGCAGCAGTAAAAGCCGTGCCTTCTTCCTTTATTCTTGTTTTAAAGAGAGAGAGCGAGAGAGAGAAATGCAGGAAGGATTACGGGCCAAAGCAGCTGCTGCATGCTTTGAATGCATTGTGTAGAGGTCTCCGTTTTGACCCTTCATCATCGCCTCTCCGCAAAGGGTGACTCACTCAGTCCCCAAATACTGTGGGAGAGCAACCCTCAACTTAATCTCTGAAAACTTTCCTGCGGGCGGGGAGAAGGAAGCCGACCCCTCTTCTGAAATTTTCTCCCCACCCCACCCCTCTTTTCTGCAGAGGATTCCAGAGGACCTCAGTCTCGATGCCTTCTTGGAAATGAACGACTCCAAAGTCAAAGACACGATGAAGAGATACGGGGCCAGCATGGAAGAATGTTCACGGCTGAACGGAGCCCTCACCTGCTTGCGGAAAGCAACGCGGATGGGTAAACAAAGGCTTCTGGGGACGTGGGGGATTTTCAAGGCGGGAGGAGAAGAGAAGGGGAATTGGGAAGGAAGACGCTTTCCTTGAGTTCACAGGGAGCTGGGGCTCCGCAAAGAGAAGAAGGGAGTGTGAAAAAATGGGCTGGGGGAGGAGTTGCGGCTTGCCAGCTTGCCTCCAGAAATAGTGGGTGCTCCAACACTGAGATTTTTAAGAAGAGATTGGACAACCATTTGTCTGAAATGGTATAGGATTTTCTGCCTGAACTGAACTAGAAGTCCTCCAAGGTCCCTTCCATCTCTTTATTCTGTTTTTTTTTGGGGGGGGGGCTTTTTGTTTTTGCACATGGGCAGGTTAGACTTTAGGAGAGTGTGGCTGAAAGAGTTAAGATGGGCTGAACACTAGGAGGGAGGGAGGGAGGGTTTCAAGGTAGCTCATGAAAGCCTTGGGAGCAACCTCCCAAGTTCCAAAAGCTAATACCAGATCAAACTATGTAACCTGGAAGAAGGAGAATGTATTAAAATTGATTGGCAAAAAAAAAATAGTCCAGTTAACCACATTTAATTTAAATTCAAGGAAAGTGAAATTGAATGGTATTTTTTTTTTATTTTGGGTTTCCTATTCCCCTACTTTATGGGAGGGCTGCCTGCTTTGGGTTCAGAATCTCCCACAATTCCCCATGCAGCCCTAGCTGGACTATTCTCCCCCCTCACCACCCCAAAGATATGATTCTGGGCAAAACAACAAAAGATTCCCCACTGCCGTTTTTAAGACTTTATTCATGCCTTCAGCTATCATGGCATGCATTAAAGGCAGTGTTTCTCAACTTTGGTGATTTTAAGATGTTTGGACTTCAACTCCCAGAATTCCCCAGCCGTGCCTACTTGAAATGGGGGCAACATTTTAAGGGGGGGGAATTGAAACAGGAAGTCATTTTACTGATTTAGAAAGCAGTCCTGTTTGTGTCTGTGGCGTCCTTGGTGCTCTCCTAGCTTGGTTTGTTTGCTTGCAGACGTTTCATGACCCAACTAGGTAACACCATCAAAGGGTGGAGTTTGTTCCCTGTTTATATACCGTTGCTTGTCTTGCCAGTGTGGATTTTCTCCTTGGTAGTTCCTCAATTAAGATATTGTTTTTTACTTGATTGTTCATCTTGGTAGTTTCTTGGTTAGGATATTACCTAGTTAGGGTATTAATAAGTAAGTTTTATTAAGTAACTATTAGAGTGTTGTCTAGACGGGTAACGTCTGCAAGCAAACAGCCGAGCTCAGAGAGCATCAAGGATTTCAAAATTCAACCCTGAGCTACAGATACTCTCTTCTATTGAAACCATTAGTATGAACTCTGTTGGGTTATGGTAACAGAATCGTGCAAGTCTGAAAATATTTCTTGTGCCTCCTTTTCAGAGAACTAGGGTGTTCCCTTCTGAGACGCTGTTTCCACCCTGCTCCTATTGTGAGCTGTCTCTTCTCTGACTGTTTTGTAGGCTGCAGCTTTTCCTCCTGTCTTCTTTATCCTCACAGCCCATTATGCATTTGAATCAGGGACTCACTTGTCTCTATACAACAGACCCTAAAGCAGGGGGTCTTCAAACCTGGCCCTTTTATGACTTGTGGATTTCAATTCCCAGAATTCCTCAGCCAGGCACGTGTGCCTGGCTGAGGAATTCTGGGAGTTGAAGTCCACAAGTCATAAAAGGGCCAGGTTTGAAGACCCCTGCACTATAGGGTAGAGCATGGAACTGTAGCAAGGCAGGTAGGTGTTAGCTTGAAATTATAGCTGCCAGCCCAAAAATAATAATAATCCATCTTCTCAATCCAGTGTTTTTCAATAAGAGAATATCAGAGTTGGAAGGGACCTTGGCAGTCTTCTAGTCCAACCCCTGCTCAAGCAGGAAGCCCTATACCATTTCAGACAAATGGTTGTCCAATCTCTTCTTAAAAACCTGCAGTCACGGAGCACCCATGACTTCCGGAAGTAAGCCATTCCGTTGATTAATTGTTCTCACTGTTAGGAATTTTCTTCTTAGGTCTAGGTTGGTTCTCTCTTTGATTTGTTTCCATCCATTGCTTCTTGTCCTGCTTTCAGATGCTTTGGAGAACAGGCTAACTGTGTCTTCTTTGTGGCAGGCCCTTAGATATTGGAACACTGCCATCATGTCACCCCTAATCTTTCTTTTCATTAAACTAGACATACCCAATTCCCTCAATCGTTCTTCGTATGTTTCAGCCTCCAAACCCCTAATCATCTTTGCTTCTCTTCTCTGCATTCTTTCTAGAGTCTCAATGTCTTTTTTGTATCGTGGTGACCAAAACTGGATGCAATATTCCGAGTGTGGTCTTACCAAGTCATTGTAAAGTGTTAATACTACTACTACTACTACTACTATTACTACAACTACTACTACTATTACTACTACTACTACTACTAATACTAATAATAATAATAGTAAAGTTGGAAGGGACCTTGGAGGTCATCTAGTCCAACCCCCTGTTCAGGCAGGAAACCCTATACCATTTCAGACAAATGGCTGTCCAGTCTCTTCTTAAAAACTTCCAGTGTTGGGAGCATTCACCGCTTCTGGAGGCAGGCTGTTCCACTGGTTAATTGTTCTAACTGTCAGGAAGTTTCTCCTTAGTTCTAGGTGGCTTCTCTCCTTGATTAATTTCCATCCGTTGCTTCTTGTCCTGCCTTCAGGCACTTTGGAGAATAGCTTGACTCCCTCTTCTTTTGGCAGCCCCTGAGATACTGGAACACTGCTATCATGTCCCCCCCTCATCCTTCTCTTCATTAAACTAGACATACTCAATTCCAGCAGCCGTTCCTTATATGCTTTAGCCTCCAGTCCTACTTTATACTTTTACGTGTACTAACCCTTCATGTGTGGTCCACTCATTTTGTCAATTATGGCAACTTCAAAATGCGTGGACCTCAGCTCCCAGAATTCCCCAGAAAGCATGCCCACACAATGCTTCTCCACACAAGCATGCTGATCTGCATATCTTGAAGTCACCAAGGTTCAGGAACGCTTGTCTTAGTCTGTCGTGTCCCCTCATTGTGCGCCTCATTGTTTCATGTATGGCTTTCTTTGAACAGTGCCTTCGTATCTCCACGCAGGTGGAGAGCACAAAGACCATCTGGTGTGGAATCCACCTGACGTTTGCCGGGAAACCAGTTTGATGCCTCCTTCTGAACTTTCTCCCTGCCCTCCAGGGCTCACGTGGATACAAGGCAACCTTTCCCATTTGAAAGGCAACGGCCCACAGTCCCGTTCTGTCTCCGTCTCCACCATCCCCTCTTCAGACAACTTACCTACGAGTCAAGGTGCCCCTACCTTTGCCGATAACCTGTTGGAATCCTTTGCTTTCCCCACTCACTGTGGGCGGCGGAACCTCAGAACTCCTCACAGTACTGCCATTACCCCACCGACCACGCCCCAGCTCAAGAGAGGGAAGCCACCACGGACTCCACCCCCACCCAGCCGAAAGGTTTTCCAGCTGCTGCCCAACTTCCCAACCCTCACCAGGAGCAAATCTCATGAGTCCCAACTCGGCAATCGGATAGATGACGTTCCTCCTATGAAGTAAGAGTCCTTCTTTCCTCTCCTTGCTATCGGTATTAGCATAGCCCATTCAAAGCCTTCTGCATTGTTCCTGAGCCCGGGAAAAATTGATTTCCAATTCTCAGGAAAGGTGTTAAGATAGTGATGGCGAACCTTTGAGAGACCAAGTGCCCCAAAACTGCCCTGCCCCCACCCCCCACTCCACACCCCGCCCTGCCTGCAGGGCCACCCACCGCCTCCATGGCCCACCGCAGCAGATCGGCCAGGCAGCCCAGCAGCGCCATGGTGGCCATGCCCTCCGCCTGCATCCCGCAGCATCTGCACGCAATGGGGCGTGAGGGTGGAGTCTTGTCCCTGCTGCCCAGCTGCCATGTCCTTGGCTGCACTGCTCTGCATGGGCCACGCCTGGGGGCAACTCTCCACTGAGGGGGTTGCTTGTGAGGAGGGGGCTGTGGGGGGAGGTGGAGCTGGGGCAACAGCACGCGTGCCCACAGAGGGGGCTCTAAGTGCCACCTCTGGCACGCGTACCATAGGTTCACCACCACTGTGTTAAGACCTTGTTCAGCTGTTACTTTTTGAATTGTGTTATTTTTCATTGTTTTTCATTGGGTCACCAGTGGTGTTTATTTGAAGTGGGTGGCCCCCTTGAATGACTGACAAGTAGCCTTTGATTTACGAGTGCGGTGGGCGCCAGAAATCTGGTTATAGGGTTCTATGTTGAGACCTTTTTTGCAGTGGGTTGTTAAGTGAACACACAGTTGTAAGTGTAAATCCATTCATCTGAATGGACAGTTCTTGCCAGAAAGCAACAGAAAACACCTTGAATCATGATCACATGACCACAGAACGCCACAACTGTCATGAAGGTGACCAGTTGCCAAGTGCCCGACTGTGATCACGTGACCATGAGGAAGGGGTAGTATGCCCATTTATGATGCCAAGGGAAGCGTTACAGTTTGTAAAGCAGTCATTCTGTGGCCATTGTAAATGCAAACAGTTGAAGAGTTGTTAAACAATTGGTCATAAACTGAGGACTACCTGTTTGGCATTGTCTCAGCCTTGGCAACTTTAAGCTGCATGGATCTCAACTTCCACAATTCCCTGGACACATGCAAGAGTTCAAATCCATGTTCGCTTAAAGTTGCCAAGGTTGAGAAACTTTAGCTCATAGGCTGGAAGGATGATGATGATAGGGTGGGGTCATTGTTGTTGTTTGCAAGGTGCTGCATCTGAGTCAGAGTCTTGTGTTAATGGTCTTAATGCACAGCCTTTTAGCACATAGTTCCCAAGGTTATGTGCATCCTAATATTCAAACAGAGCCAGTTTAAACAGAGCCAGAGACCTGGAAGACAAGAATGGAAGCTAGGGGCCACTTTTACACTGAAAACCCTTGCAGTCAAAATAATTGTTCAGAATTCATGTACATACTCCCAATAATACACATGCTTTGGGAACCACGGGGATGTGCGGACAGAACTATATTGACTGTTAACTGGGGGCTGCTATAGTATTCTGGGGAGGATAAGGGTCCCAATGATGGAATGAGTCAAATGAATGGAGTCAAGATTTAGGTGAGTTTAAAAATAAAACAAAATTAAGTCTGTATTAACATATTGGGTGGTTAACAAAAACAAAATAAAAACAGGGTAAACCACCCCCCAATTTTTAAAACAGCTGTTTGGCAGTGACAGAATTGTGCAGTGATGGTTAGCCAACCATGATTTGTAAGCCTATTTCAAGGGGGCCACCCACTTCAAATAAACACCACTGGTGACCCAATTAAAACAATTTGGGTGGAAATGACAGAAACCATGCTTTGCAAGCCTGTTTTGGTGATTTCCCACAACAAAGCATTTCAAGCATGAATGAATAACCTTGATTCCCTCAAAACTCTTAAACATTAATTTTATTAGTGTGGCTGAAGCTGCCAGATATTAAATAATTGTCTAATGATCATATTAAATGTACAGGTATCCTTGGATTACAACCAGTGGTGGGATTCAGCCAGTTTGCACCACTTCGGCAGAACCGGTAGCTAATGTTTTGTTGCCCAGGCCCAGAATGGACTTCCGGAAGCGGCATCCACACAGAGAACCGGTTATTCACATATTTGAATCCCACCACTAGTTACGACAACTCATTCAACAATTGTCGAAACCCACCAATTCAGTGGTCATTAATCCACTGAACAAAGTGGATTAATGACCAATCTGCAAAGTTGGGACTCTTGCAATATCCTCACGATCAAATGATCATAATTCAGGTGCTGGGCAATTAGCTTGCAATTACAACTGTTGCAAGATCCCATGGTGATGTATTGCCATGTGTGACTTTTCCTGCCGGCTTCCCGATGCGAGTTGCTCCCTCTCCTTCTATTTTTTCGCCTGCCCACCTATTCTCAACACCCTCCCAGCTTGCCTGGGACTTCCTCCTCTCCTACACTGCAGTCAAATGAAGGCCTCACTTAATGACCTGCACAGTCCTGGGATTATGAGAGCCACCGGGACTCCTGGAATTGCCGTTGCTAACTATGCAGTCACATGACATTGACAATACTCCTGCATTGCTTAGTGACAGCGACTCCAGTTCCAATTGCTGTTGTAGCCCAAGGACTAGTTGTATTTCATATACCGTACTTTCCAGCGTATAAGACGACTTTTGCAAGCGTTAAAATCGGCGCCGAAGTCGGGGGTCGTCTTATACGCCGAGTCGTCTTATACACTGGAAATAACGGTAGTTTCCGGCGTATAAGACGACTGTCTAGGCATGCGACTTGGCGCCGAAGACGGGGGTCGTCTTATACGCTGGGCCGCCTTATACGCCGGCATATATGGTAATTCGTACATCTCATTAACTTTAAACAGATATTAAAACAAATTTTGTTTATGTTCTACCTACAGCCCACTTTATTTATTTATTTGTTAGTTGGCTTGTTACTTGAGGGACCGCCATTCTCCCACGGGGTTATCCCAGTGGTGGGATTCAAATATGTGAACAACCAGTTCTCTGTCTGGATGCCGCTTCTGGAAGTCCATTCTGGGCTGGGCAACAAAACATTAGCTACCGGTTCTGCCAAAGTGATGTGAACCCGCTGAATCCCCACTACTGGGTTAACCTGAGTGGTTTAATCCCAGAGAGTTGGTGCACTTTAGGTTCTATGAATTAAGCAACGCTTAAGTGTCAGGACCCTGAAAGCATGTTGTAGCACCTCCCCTCCGGAATGAGGTTATCCCTCAGATCTGTGGAACTCCCACCCTGATTTCATTCTGGCTGGCTCTTCTCCCAGCAAGGATAATACAGTTACTCCTTGACTTATGACTGTTTGCTTAGTGACTATTCAAAATTACAATGGACTTCCCTGGGAATATTTACAACCCAGTTCCAATGGTTGCTCCCTTCGTGTTATCCCACCCACAGCCTGTTTTTATGGCCATTTGCAGCATCCCTTGCTCATGCGACTGTGTTTTATGACAGTTTCGCTGAAAACCGGCATTGACTTCAGGTTTTCAGCAAAACTAGCCCAAAGCAAACCATTCGTTTGCAGTTTGAAAGCATGCAAATGCAAGCAGATAAATAGGTACCACCTTGGTGGGAAAATCAGGGACATGAAATGAGCTTTCTCGGGCATCCTCTGGGCAATGGGGATATCTAGCTAATCCTTTCAACCCAAAAGCACCTTGGTGTAAGGTGCTTCCAATACGAATGTAGTAATAATGATCACAGCATTTGCTTGATGACCACAGTAGTCACTTAACAACCATGGTAGTTACATAACCGTGACGGTTGTTTAATGATTGCTACAAAAAGATTGTAAAATCAGGACAGACTTGCAACCTTCATGACTTAAAACCGTGATGGGCAGGCTCCATTACAGTCCTTATTAGAGAATTACCTGTAGGTGTCCTTGTAGGTATTTATCATGTTCGCCGGGTTTGCTATCTTGCTACTGTCTTGTGCATTTTGGATTATATGTTGTTTTTACGCTGTAGATTGCACAGAGTTGATTGGAATCAGACCAAGAATGTACAGCTGTTTCTCTTGAAAGTAATTAGAATACAGACCGAAAGATATTTGGAAGAGCTTTTAACACCTCTCATTTTTAGTAGCTTGTATGTAGGAATTCCTTGACTTACAGCTCCTATTGGAACTGGAAAATTCATCATTAAGCAGCGCAGTCATTAAGTGAGGTATAATGTGACTACACCCAATTTTATGACTTGTTTTGCCACAGTCGTTAATTGAATCACTGTGGTTGTTAACGTTATCACAATTAAGCCCTGGTGGCTCAGTGGTTAAACTGCAGTACTGCAGGCAAACTCTGACCACAGCCTGGAGTTCGATCCTGACAGGGCTTAAGTTTGACTCAGCCTTCCACCTTTCTGAGGTCAGTAAAATGAGGACCCAGGATTGTTGGAGGCAATATTCCAGTAATGCTTGAACATGCTGTAAAGCACTGTGGGGCGGTATATAAACTTACAATGCTATTGCTGTTATCGTGATTTATAACTTTCCCTGTTGATTTTGCGGGCTGAGAAAATTGCAAATTTTCAATCCCGTAATCACAGGATCCGGCAACCGTTGTTAATGCGAGCTGGTTGCCAAGCGTCTGATTCTCAATCACATGATCACAAGGATGGCTGGTTGGTTGTCACTTCTACGATGGGTTTATAAGTCACTTTTTTCAGCAACATTGTAACTCCAAACTGTCGTAAATCAGAATCCATTAGCTAGATTGGAAGACAAAAATATGCCCAAGAAAGATTGATATATGTGCATTTTCATTGCTTTGCTTAGATCAGTGTTTCCCAAACTTGACAATTTTAAGGCATGTGGACTTCAACTCCCAGAATTCCACAGCCAGCATTGCTGGCTGTGGAATTCTGGGAGTTGAAGTCCTCATGCCTTAAAATTGTCAAGTTTGGGAAACACTGGCTTAGATCAATGTTTCTCAACCTCGGCCACCTCAAGATGGGCGACTTCAACTCCCAGTTGAAGTCCGCACATCTTCAAGTGATTGGGGGTTGAGAAACACTCTCCTGCCTCACATGCAAACAGTCTCAGATTTGACCCCAAGCATTTTGAGAGCTGCAAAATCTCCTCCTTGTGAAATTTCATGTAGCCATGCTGAGTCAGAGGATTTAATTGTGTGACTCCAATATAAGGTGATTCTTGTACGTTAACATGAATGATACATGATTGTGACTCACTGTTTCTCCCTTCTTTCTTTTTGTGTCTTTTTAGATTGGGTAAGAGATGCTTTGTTTTGGAAAACTTTATTCCTGCTCCAGAGGGGGTGAAAAGGCTGCAGACGTATCTTCTTCAGAAAGTTGACCTCGGAATAGTAGGATCAACTCTTTCTTAATGACAGCTTTAAAACAAAAAAATTAAGTGCTGGAGAGAAAGCTATACTTCCCCGAAGTGTTTGAGTCCCTGCATTCTGACTTCTCTCATACTTTCAACGATTATCAAGATATACCCATGTTTAAACTTCAATCTCTCCAAGATGGTGTTGGGTTCTTTATGATACAGCATATTGTGGGAATCTAATATGTTGTGTAAACCAGGCCATAATATAAAACCATACATACCTTGGTTTATTTGCTTGGGCAAGTCTGAGGAGGGAAGGAATTGTGTTTTGTTAACTTGGCTTTTATTTCGAATAATCTAGCCAAGAAATTTGTATTTGAAAATATGTGTATTAATATGCAGAGAGTAAAGACACAGTAGTACTCAACTTATGACCACAATTGAGTCTACCATTTTCAGTTGCCAAGCAAGGCGATCGTTAAGTGAGTCACATCTGAGTTTATGACCTTTTTTCACCCCGGGTGTTGAGCAAATGACAGCGGTTATTCAGTGAATCATGTGTTTGTTAGAAAATCAGGCTTTCCCCCATTGACTTTGCTTGTTGGAAGGTGGCTGGGAAGATTGCAAATCCTGGGATGCTACAAATGTTGGAAATACATGTCTGTTGCCAAACACCCACATTTTCATGACATGACTGGGGGTGCTATGATGGTTGTGTGGGGACTGGACATAAGTCACTTTTTTGCAGTGCTGTTGCAACTTTGAACAGTCACTAAATAAATGGTTGTAAGTCAAGGACCACCTGTGCACCATCCCTTTATTTCTAACAATGAAATGCCCAGGAATCTCACTAGGGATCTGTAGCTAGCCCACATGTTGCCCGTAAAAGGCAACACCATCCCTTATTTGGAGTTGGGGGTGCCTTTCAAATTTTGGCAGATTACTAATTGCTTTTTTCAGAAGGCTGAAGGGGGTATGTACCTCTAGTCTCAGAGAAATAAACAGGACTAGAACTATTATTATTTTTGCTTTGTCGCTTTATTTTTCTTTCTTCTGGTCTTTGGGGAATATCTAGAGCAGTATTTTTCAAACTGGCAACTTTTAAAGTGTGCAAACTTCAATTCCCAGAATTTTCTAGCCAAACTTAATGGGTGGGAAATTAATCTAGGGGTTGAAGCCCACACATCTTAAAAGTTGCCAAGTTTGAAAAACACTGATCTCTTGAGTGAATGTGTCCAAACTATGGAACCTCTATGAAGTTTGCCACAGCAATTTTGCACTGAGGTTTAATGTGGCTCTTTTGCCCTTCGGGGGTTAAATTGGAATGTTGACGGTCCTTCTGTTCAATTTTGGCAGTTGCCTTCCCATATCTTACGCCATCTTGGCCCCCTCCAAGATATATGGACTTGGAACTCTCAGAATTCCTCAACTAGGGTAGGCATTGCTGAGAATTGTGGGAATTGAAGTCCACTCATTTGGAGGGCTCCCCGATTTGTCTTGCGCTGGTGATCGATGCTCCATTTCTGCACCCGCCGCTTGCACAGAACCATCTCCTCCCATCCCCCCACCCCACCCCCACCAGCCCACAAAGCTGGAAAGGTTGGAGACCCCTTCTTTATGCTGAGTGACCCAGTTCCAATGTTCCTACGAGATGATCATCTACTCAAGCTTGACTAAATTTGGAGAGGAGCAGAGGCATTCTCTTGTATCTTATTTTCCCCCCAAGGCTTTTCTTTCAAGCTGATAAAAAGGAAATTGTTTTCAAAGTGCATTTTCGAGAGGAAGAGAATTTCAGATCGGTCTCATGGAGGGAGTACAGTCATTTTGCACGTCGCTTGGTGTATTGGGTAGCCCAGTAGGATTCATTTATTTTGTGCTGTTTACAGGGATCTTTAGCAATTCCTCTTTCTAAGTACGGCGGGCATTCTTAAAAACTCTAAATACAGGTAGTCCTCAACGTACGACCACAATTGAGCCAAAAATTCCTGTTGCTAAGTGAGACATTTTTTTTCGGAGTTTTGCCCCATTTTACAACTTATCTTGCCACAGTTGTTAAGTGAACCTGGCTTCCCCATTGACTTTGCTTGCCAGAAGATCGCAAAAGGGGATCACATGGTCCTGGGACACTGCAAACTTCATAAATATGAGTCAGTTGCCAAGGATCCAAATTTTGATGCTGCAACGGTCATAGGTGTGAAAAAAGGTCATAAGTCACTTTTTTCAGTCTTGTTGTTAACTTAAATGGTTACTAAATGAACTGTTGTAAGTCAAGGACCTTTGTCAGTTGGCAGACCAGAGGAAAAGGGAGGGGGAAGCATTTTACATGCATGCGTGCACACGGGGCCGCGAGCACTCGCACGCGACAAATGGGGCAGGGCTAGAACGCATGTGATACTTGCTAGCCTTGCCCCGCTCTTGCATGGCACAGTGCCTTGTTTCTGTGCCCCGTGGTGTAGTGGTGATTGTTTTTGTGCCTTGTAGAGCAGTGGCAGCCTGTTTTTGTGCCCCGTGGCGTGGCAGTGGCCCATTTCTGCTGGCGGCATCCATTTTAAGCCTCGCAGTGTGGTGGTGGCCCATTTTCACATCCCGAGGTGCAGCAGCGTCCCATTTTTGTGCCCCGTGTCCGCAGCGCTGGCACAAGTGAGGGGGTGTGCGCGCATACATGTGGACACTGGCCAGCCTCTCCCATAGCCCGGTGGCCAACAGGCCATGGCCCTCTACTGGGCTGCGGCCCACAGGTTTGGGGAACCCTGCTGTACTTAATCAGCTACCAAGTAGTTTTTGATTTTAGGAAGTTTCTCCTAAAATTTTGTTTCCGGAAAATAAGGGTTATGTTCTGCCTGCTGTAGCAGTGGGGATATTCATTTCTGCCTGTCAAGTCTTCAGGTACCCCTGCTTCTGACTCAAGTTTTTCAGTAGATATCTGTAGCTCAGAGGGGTTGAACTATGGAGTTCTTGGTGCTCTCTGAACTTGGTTGTTTGCTTGTAGATGTTCCATGATCCAACCGGGTTACATCATCAGTTGTGAGGGAGTGCAGATGTTATCTAGTGGTTGGATCATGAAACATCTACAGGCAAACAGCCAAGCTCAGAGACTAACACCAAGAATGCCACAACTCAAGTTTTTAAAGAATTTGAGAACAGAAGGATCAAAGAGAAAAAGAGTTTGAATGCCACATCCTTGAGAATGATGCTGACAGCTGAAGTTACCTCAACTCCGATAACTTCATAGAAGCTGCCAGTTTTCTTAGCGAGAATATGGGTGTGGTTTGCCAATGGTTTTTTTCCATTTTTTTTTAAAAAACATACACACTTCTGGGATTTGGAGGTTGGTCTTCTTTTCCAGTTACCAAATAGTTTTGGCCTTGCTTAATTCTTCAAAATCAGCAAAAGTCAGCTAGATATTGTTACTTTTATCTTAGAATATTGGATTATATCAAAATGGGGTTGGGTAGTTTATAGGTTTTCACATTGTGGAATTTTAATGTTATAAGCTGCCCAGAGTCACCATGCATGATGAGTTGGGTGATTATGCAAATGTGTTTAATAAATAAATAACTTTGGGGTGCCCCCCCATTCCTTAATGCCCTAAGCAGAGTCTTATTTTACTTAATGGTTAATCCAGGACTGTGGCTGAAGCTTCTGGAAATAATAATTCAGCAGTATCTGCAAGGCTATGTATATAGGCTAAGCATTTGCTTGCTTATATTATAGCATACTGTCTGAAGCGGCTCTTGTAGTTTGTAGCTTGTAAACCATGGTTTGTGAGTTAGCATATGGATTGAATCCTGCCCATTATGGTTGATTTAATAAACCGTGGCTAAACCAAAGTTAGTATTTTGTGTGAAGGCAGCCTGCATCTACCGCTAATAACCATTCCTGTTGCCACAAAAAAAGAGGGGGGTCAACCTTTTCTCCAAAGCACCTGAGGACAGGACAGGAAGCAATGGATGGAAACTAATCAAGGAGAGAACCAAGTAAAAACTAAGGAGAAATTTCCTAACTGTGAGAATAATTAATCAGTGGCTTGCTTCCAGAAATTGTGGGTACTCCAACACTGGAGGTTTTTAAGAAAAGATTGGACAACCATTTGTCTGAGATAGTATAAGGTTTCTTGCTTGAGCAGGAGGTTGGACTAGAAGACCTTCAGGGTCCCTTCCAATTCTGTTATTCCTACCAGCCTACTTAGGGTTCCTAACTGAAGAGGAGGAATACCCATTTGTAAACAGTAGCATTCCTGAAATATCAAGTCTGAGGACATTGCATGCATTTGCCTGAGAGCTAGCTTCTAGTTTTTCATGCTGCAGCCACCACTGTTGTATTCCTCTAGCTAAGATTAGGGTTTGGCTTGTCAAGAGTTCAAATCTCCCTATTCCTGTTTAATCTTATATAGAAATTACAGTTTTCAAAAGAAAGTCCAGGCCAGACTAGGGTCCCCATAGCACAGTGGTTCTCAACCTTTTTAATGCTGCGACCCCCCCAACCGGTCGTATGTCGAGGACTACTCAACCGGTCGTAAGTCGAGGACTACTCAACTGGTGCAGCACTGTTTGCAGAATGGGACTTTTGGCGGGCTCAGCAGGGCAGAGACAGACTGGACAATTCCTATTGGCTTTTGAAAGCCAATAGAATTAGACTCTATTCAAGAGAGTCTATTCTATTGGCTTTCAAAAGCCAATAGAATAAAAGGGAGTAGCACAGCTAAGGAAAAGGGGGGAAAAAATGGCGGACTGCGTTGTTTGGCGACCCCCGTGAAATGGTTGTTCGACCCCAAATGGGGTCCCGACCCACAGGTTGAGAACCACTGCCATAGCAGGCCGTTCTGAAATGAATGTAAACTGAGCCTTTAGGTGTTAAATTTGCTAATGCAGGAACATGCAATGCATATATCTGAAACCATAATTTTGTCACCTAAGGGCTAGAGTGTTCTGCTCCTAGT